GTCCACAGGCCAGATGCAGTCTACCAAGCCACTGGATCAGGCCTGTGGACACAGGGAGGAACCCCAAGCAGGCTCCCAGCTTGCCTTGCTGCACCTGCACACAGCTCAGAAAAGCAGCTGCTGGGCCCTCTCTCCTTTAAAACTGAGCGCCAAGAGGAAGGTGGGAGGGGGTAGGCACTGTGCTTCTGCCCCCACAGCACAATCCCATTTGTTGGTTTCTGGCCAGAAACCAGCCAATTGGAGCTGCCTGTTTGAACAAGAGGCAGCCATGAAGCACTGTGCCTCATAGTTATTCACACATACTGCCCTGCAGCCTGTGTGGGGTGGGAGAAGAAGGCTGGTAAGTCACCCAGGTAAGTCTCCTGCCCAGAGCCTTCCTCTGGCACCCCAGCCCTTCCCTTCCCCAAACCTCTTCCTCCCCCCTGCACTCATATCCCCTCCCAGATTCAGTACCCAATTGCCTGCTCCACATTGCAACCCCCTCCTGCCTTAGGCCACAACTCAAACTCCTGAACCCTAATCCCCTGCTCTAGGCAACAACCCAATTCCATGCACCCCTCCTTGTATCCCATTTCCCAGCCTTAGGTCACATCCCAAACCCCTGCACCCCAGTCCTGTGCCTCAGGTCACATTTGCCTCCTTCACCCAAACTCCCAGACCCCACACTCCCTCCTGCACCCCAATCCCTTACCCCAAGTTCCCTTCTGCACCAAACCTCCAATCCCAAACCTCCTCCATTAATATACCACCAAATTCTTGGAATGGCCTCTCATCAAAAGTTATTGTCCACCCCTGCCTTGGAGGGTGCATTTAGTTCTCTCAGGTTTCATGGTGATGGCTCCACTGGTTTATCAAGAGACACCCTCAATATTTAGAACTTGGCTCTTTTTTCTACCATTAATGACCAGGCAGAAATAAATTGTAATCGCTGATCAATCAACAGAAAGAATGATTTTGTGTGTGTGGCTATAGAACATTAAAACATGTTTTCTAAGTCTGAGTTTACTTTTGCTGTGTTTCTTTTAACAACGCTAGTGGTGTTCATAGAGCATTTGGAAAATGGAAATATCCGATCCAACACATTCATAGTAGGGGCAGGAGGATACTGCCATGGAGGGTGCGGTGCGCTGGTTAACAGACCCAACTCCTCTGGCACACATATACAACACTTTACTCAAATATATTTTTCTCAGGATACTCATACTCTTCTGGGCCCCCAAACACAATACAACAGAACTTAAAGCAAAACTACACTCATCTACTATGCAGCCCTGGCTGTCTCCATTCCTAAGCCAGCCAGAAGCACACTCCTAGCAGTCCTCTCTAACCTGACCCAATTTACTCAGCTGCTCTGGTTTCCTTGCAATCTCTTGAGGTCCATTTTCAGACAGACCTACCTCACACAATCCCCTTTTCGTTGTCACTGCTCAAGCAGCCTTTCGCTCCCTGCCAGAGGGGCCTGCAAAGCTCTTCTCCTTAAGCATTTCTTTTCCTCTGAACCAACCCTCCCTATCCACCCAGCTGCACCTAGTAATGTCCTAATTAGTCACATGTATCTCTCCCCAGGCTCAATTAAGTTCCTGACATGAATACACTATGAATTTGACCCCATTTCCTCTTCAGAATGGTTCTTAACTGTGGGTCTTGGTAAGCCAGTTCAGGGGATCTGCAAGCTCCAATTCAATCAGAGTTGGAAGGGGACATGGGGGAACTGCCCCTCCCCCCAAGTGCAGCACCTTAACAGTCCTGGGAGCAGCTTCACCTCCCCTCCTCACTTCGTCTTATTTCCCTGTCCCCCAAGCTTCACTCTCTGGCTAGGTCAGAGACTGGAAGCTAGAGCCAGGCTCTTTGGATCAGTGGCTGATCTGGCTTCTGTCATGGAGCAATCCACTAGGAAACTACCGTCTGCTGCTCCTCAGCTCCCTTTGACTGTACACCAAGCCAGCAAAAGCTGCATTGGTAGAGGGACCTGGCTCCCATGGGGAACTGTGACCACATTGGGGGGCCTCCCCTAGCGCATAGTCCTTAGCCCCACGAAAGCTCATCACCTAATAAACCATCTTGTTAGTCTTTAAAGTGCTGCATTGTTTTGTTTTACCTCTCCCTACAGTGAGCTATATAAACCAACCCCTTAGCCACCCTCTCCCTGCACCTTGTGTGGTTTTCAAACTTTGAGCTGAGCTACCCCCAAGTGGTAATTTTTAGTTGTATGTTTGTGTCTCCCCCCAGCCCTTGGGAGCAGGCCTGGT